TTCGGCATCAACATACAGTTCGTGATCTTCACGTAAGTTCTCCGGATTCTCATCGTCTAATGCCGGTATGGAAACATCATGCCACTCATCGTGATCACGTCTAACCTTTGACTGATTCACACGTATCACTGCCTTACCAGTATTGGCTTGGACCATAGCTCCTTCTTGTCCAAGTACTGTGGCACGAACCCAACGTCCTTTATCCGTGAACTTTGATGAATCCTGAGTCCAAACAAAAACCTTCTCTCCTTGGAAATAAGGACCGTCACTTGGCATAGTCCTTCTTGCAAGATCTGCTCGAAGGTCCTGAGCTTGTCGTGCTTCTTGATGAGCTCTCAAAGCCACACGTTGTAGTTCCAAATTTGTACGATCTTGTGCGGCGGCATTAGCTGACAATTGCTCAGGGCTTGCGGTCTCAAGGTCAAAAAGATCTGGTGGACGTCTTCCAGTTGCTATCTCTATTGGTGAATATCCACTGATAGTCAACTGACAATTTCTTGCCCAAACTACCTTCTTGACCACTTCTCTGACCGTAACACCACGAAAACGTGGGTCATCCAGATCTACCTTCATAACATGCCACATACGTTTGAACAAACGTACAGCTGTCTCTGCTCGGTTCGGCCAAGGAGTTCTTGGCCCACAAGGACATTGTTGTATACCATGGAACCTGTAGTATTCAACAAAAGCATCGGTGAAAAAGGCTACGTCTCCTACGATGGCCTTCGGAACACAGTTGTTCTCATCCGACCACTGCCTCAATGCTTGGATGGTGGTTTGATCTATGAGGTCTTTCTGTGCCGTAGCCCAGAGAAGATTTGTGGCACCATCAAGAACAAGTAAAATGATATACTTGTTCTTGTGAAGTTCAACCTCACAATGATCAGCAAAAACAACATCACCAAAACATGAAGCTCTAATACCGGAGACTCTGGCTCGTGGCGGAGGTGCCACTGAAGTGTTACAAACACGGCAGTTCCTGACAACTGATTCATACTTCTCTAAAACAGAGTGAGGAAGCTTGAACATAGAAACACGTCTACGAAACTGAGTAGGACTCATATGGTAGTGCTTCACATGAAGCTTATAAAGCTCTACCTTGTCCTCCAGTCTCTGTAACATCTTCCTATATGCCGGTGTCATTGCAACAACTTCACTACCAGGTAATGGGATTGAAATCCGCCTAGGCTCAAGAGCGCCATCACCTGGTTCAAGTGGTTCATGTTTATCACTTGATGGTCCTTTTGATGCTTTAGGAATTTCTACAAGTTCACCTTCTGGCCTCTCAGGTGGTTCTGAGGGAGCATACTCCTCAAGATCATCACCCTTTAAATCATTCTGAGGCTCAGATGGTTTTGACTTGTGTCCCTTCCAAAATGGATCAAAACCCTTGGAAGTATACCGAAACTTTGGCGGCACGGGCTTTTCCGCGGCACTTGATGGCGCACCTTCCTTCTCTGACGAGAAGCCTGGTTCCCTGTCCTTTGCAATGGGAACCTTCTCTGAGCAGGAGCGCACCACTGCATCGGGATCACCAATGCCACGGTGCTCAATGCCAGCCTTCCTGATCTTTAGATCTGGAATTTTGGCATCTGGTTTGAACTTAAAAATTGTTCTACCACGCCATTCATAGCCAATTTGTAGGTCCTTCCATTTTGCCTTGCGCCAATCATCTAGCTTCTTAATTTCTTCTCCTCCTTTCTTCTTCTTGATGATTATCAGTCGCAAGTCTTCCAGTAAGTCAGTGTCTACAGGACAGGACTTAGTTGCTGGAAATAGAATCTTTCTATAATCCTTGCGGTGACGTATCAGTTCTCTCTTGTGAACATCTACTTCCCAGTAATCAACCACAGGATATGCATGTTCAGCTACATCTTCATCACTATTGTGGTCAACAGAAATATGACCATATTCATAGTGAGTGAAGTGAGAGTAAAAACTCTTCTCGCGCCGAGTCTGCAAATTCACGTCAGACAGATACCATGCAATATCTTGGAAGTCCAAGACAAGATGAGTACTGGCTGCAACCTTCAACTCCAAATATTTGATACCAAGAGGCACCGATGTCAGATAAGCATGTTGAGGTGTCAGCCTGAGTTCAAAGCCTAAGTTCCTCATCTGTGGCAAGCTCATAAGCAAAGGGACTTCTCCTTCTTCCACTATGTCGAACTCTGTATGGTGGATCGTCCATGCACGATCATACATGTAAATCACCAGTTTCTGAGAGCAAGTAGCCTTCTGGGAATTGGCAAAGTAAAACTTGCTCTTGGTAGACTCAAAAGAGTACCATAATCCACAATCTGGGTGATTGTCGACATAGTTGCAAAAATGGTCGACTGCTCGCCTTGATCCCATAGCTCTAGTGCATCCAATGTCCAGGATTGCAATAGTCGGCGGGAAGCGATTCTCAGTCAAAAATGAAATGGCCTGCATCTCCTTCACTTCTTCCTCAGCGCTCATAAGCGCAAAGCCATCAGGAGCCTTTGTGAGCATCTCCTTTGACAAAGAGTACCTCACAGGGGCACTCATGCCATTGAAGATCGTCTCACCATTGTTGACCGCGCAGTCAGCTTCATCTTGACATGAGGTCATCATGCCTGACAGCAAGTTCACCTCACTGTCATGGACTTCAGCTGCTGCTGTCACACAATGTGCAAAGAAACCTTGTTGACCTCCTGATGCTTGTGAAGATCTTGAAGGTGCAGGCAAAGAACGTGGCTGTTGTTGATTTGCATAGTTTGCATCTTGTTTGCCATCTCCTTTATCTTTTCCTTTCCCCTTCTTGCCTTTTCTCTTGCCTTTTCCTTTTCCTTTGTGGGAAAACCATGCTTCTTCAAGCTGTTGCCAAAAGTCATTGGCATCATCATATTCTCCTTGAAGATAGTCATTCATATCTTCGGCAAGAATAGCATCATATGCTCCTTGGTTTGACTCCCAAGTGTCCTCATGAGGATTCTCTTCAAAATACTCTTCTGGATAAGTTGTCTGTTGCTCATCAGCAAAATGGCCTTTACCTCGTCTCTTTCCTTTTCCTTTTCCACGAGGTCTGAAAAATCTGCGGCCTGATCTTCCTTTACCTTTTCCTTTTCTTCTTCCTTTTCCTTTGCCTTTTCTGGCTCTTCTTCCTTGGAATCTCCTTTGGAACCACGAGAAGTTTTGATCATCATATACCCAAAAGACATCGTCCAGGGCATCTAAAAATCCTTCTGTTCCATCTTCTTCATCTTCGGCCCAATAGCCAAATGTACCATCGAGTTCTCCTTCGTCTAGTACGAGAAATGATCTTCTACCTCCAGCACCTGTCGGCTGCATCAAAGGATTGTCTACTGAAGTCTTTGTTGTGCAGAACATCTCAATGAACACTGTCCTCAACTCTGTTGTAATGTATTGCTGCAGGACCCTGCCACGATGAGTCATCAAAGAAGTCAAAGTGTTTCGCTGGTCCTGAGACAAATCTGCAAGTGACAGCATGAGTAAGGCAATGAGATTTTCTCCTAGAGGAAATTCGTTCTGATGAAAAGTCCTCATATTGCCATTGATGGTCTGCATGATTTCCTGAATCCTTTCTGCCGTTGGTGCTACTCCAGTCAACGCTGCATCTGCCTGCATCTGAGCTAGGACCTGTGGATGTGCTTGAGTGACTGGTTCTAACATGTCCATCCAACTGCTCATAAGCCTTTGGAGTAAAATCTGGAATCTTGTCATCCATTTCATCATGTCAGCTGATCCTCGATTGAAGCGCACGAATTGCATAAACCTATACAGGAATACATTGGTTGATCCTTTCACGAAATATGGTCGTAGTACTCGTTTGAAGTATTCTACGCCAGCTCCTGGTGGATCATTCGCCTTCAATGCATCTCTGTCTAAAACACGCTTGTATACAGCTGCTTCTCCTTCTAATCTGTTTCTCAATGCTGGTCCTCTCTTCTCATCTTCCAGCTCGGTGATATCACACCAATCGTCTATGGCATCCTCATAGGAAAACCATGAAGTCTTTCCATCATAAGATGGGGGCACCTTTGTAGTGACCTGTGTTGTCATAGCTATCGCTGCTGGTTCTCTTCTCACATGCCTATTCACATAGGCTGCTGGCTCATAAGCCACATCCGCATCAGGCTCTTCCCAGTCGCCTATCCAATCCATGGCTGTTTGCCCACTAGCAAGTCTATGCCTAGGAAAGGAGCTCACCTGGGTCTTCCAGGATCACTGCTCCGCTACCACTGAAAGAGTGACTAGGGCGTACACGGTAGAGGTGCAGACCGCTAGTGTCTTTTATGCGCAGAGTCTTATCCTCTTGCTCTTTGAGCCTTGAAGCAGTCAAGCATGGACACACTATATCGGCTGTTGGAGTGGAACCCTGTACAGGTAGGCTCTACTTTTCAGGGGGCCCCCCCCCCCGGCCATCAAACGAAGATGTCGGGGACCATTTCTCTGAGAGATAGGCTCCAGCTCTGAGTATAATAATAATACATGTTTGCTAAAGCAAAAGGAAAACTCAGGTAGCGTAACCGCTACCTTTCGTGATCAGCAGCACCAAGCATGCAAGCAGCAAGAGACCAAGCAGCAGCAGGTACTGAGGAGAAGGGTGGAGTTGAGCCCGTGGAGGAGGAGGGGGGGGGTTAAAGCCTGATAAATCAGGTATCTGCACTCAGGTCCTCGGCTCCCACCCTCCTTGCTAAAGCAAGACAGACTCCAGCTAGCTACAGCTAGCTTTCGTGATGTGAGTTGCAGCGCACGAGTGCCAATGAACATTACCACTTGCTCGGTTTCGTGCCGCCCCTGTACAAATGCGTTTCAATTTGCCAGCTGCACTAAGTTAGTCCAGTCGCATGAACATGACCAGGGGATCCACAGGCATAATCCATGCCATGATTCCCAAACGAACGCCTTCAAATCCTTCACTGGTAATGTTCCATTATTTGGGATGTTTCGTGTTTGACATGATCCTGTTTGGTTTGAACGGTGTGTCTCTTACATCATTTTCCAGTGCGCCGAACCTCGAGAAACACCCTGATTTGATCATCTAGTACCTCCGTCTCCACTGCCGCCACAACGAACGTCCTCGTCACAATTTTAATCGCAATAGTAACAACACTGAACTAACAACAAATAGAAATAGCAATAATAAACCTATTTAAATAGTAAAACATCAGCAACCTCGTCATTGTCATGGTTGCCATCATCATCCAAAGCAACAGAAGGTGAAGGATATTGCCTTGTATATGGCTCGGGTTCGCACAATCTGCCTGCATCAGGAACGAGAGCATTTTCAGGCACTGGTGCAGCAAACCTAGCACGACACCAACATCCACCAAAGTGTGTGAACATGTTTCGCCCATTAAGCATCGGCCCGAGGCTGATGCAGGGAGAGCAACGCCTCATTCATGTAACAAGTCTATAAAATGAAGTCTGTCTGTGAACTGCCACACATTTGAGTTCCGTCATCACAGTCATCACACGAAAAAAACTGTCCTGACTTAATCATGTCATCTGCCTGGACAATGCAATAGGCAGAACTCCGTGATGACTGCTCCACCTGGCATCACGTAAAACAATCCAAACCCCATTCAGGACATCATGTAAAACAATGCAGCACCTGTTTAGCGCACTCCCGCCTCAGGATCTGGACCAGCTACTTTGAGTTGCAACAGCTCATGGTCCATGTCCAAGCCTTCGTATGCAAACTCGTGTTGGAAACCATGATCAAACATCTTGTAGAGTTCAGGCCAGGCCCGCACACACACTGCCATTCCGATCAATGTTACAATGGTACCTGGCGAAGCAATTGGCAAAAACACAATTTCTAAGGACCATGAGTTCGTCCCCATATGTGTTGACAAGGTCACATGGGGGTCAAGCACTTCAAACGTGGAGCTTTCTCCGGGTACTCAACAGGGAACCTGCCATGCAATTCTGGGCGGTGTTCCTTTATATATTGCATTTTGGCAAGCTGAAGGCAACACCACAACCAGAATCTGAATGTTCCGCCCCTGTACCTCACACCGAGTGTAACGAATCATGTTTCCTTCCAACCACTATGGTTCCTCTCACATCTCACATCTCAAGGCACGGGGTTCCTTCTGGTCCAGAAAGTGCCACCTTGGCTATGAAAAAATCTGCCACTTCTTACGATACAAGTCTCACACGACCTCCCAATGGAACAGGTTGGAATCCACGAGGTCCACTTGGCACGTGCCCTTGGTCTTTGGCCGCGCTCGACTTTTTTCGGTCCTAAATCTGCACATTCCCGCGCCTGGGGCAGTTCTTGTTCAATCAGCCGTAAGTCCGCCTAGTGCCGTTGCTCCCAAAATCGTTGCCCACCAAAACATGGATACACACAGCACCGATTCCTTGAGAACCTCCATGACACATTGTGCCCTCCGCCATCCCGTGCTAACTGCCAACCCAAATGCTGCAGGCTGCAGGCCAAATTTTCAAGTTCATATGCGCCGTTCAGGGAGGCAAGGATCAATTCAAATGTGGGCGCGAGTGGTCGTGAGTGTGTGGAAACAAATCATGACAGCATCCGTCCATGGAGACCGTGTGCTAGCGGGCATGATTGGTTTTGAAAGCCCTAGCGAAAGCGATAAACACTTGACAAAGTTCAGCCAAAACAACGTATATTTGCGTGCAGTGTTCAATTTCCGGGGCACACTAAAGTGGGTCCACAAAAGGTTCCAGAACTTCTGAAGGCCACCCTGCTTTAATTAACCCTTCACACTTGGCACTAAAGGACTCATGTTGAAATTACACCGGCATAGACCCAAATAGCTAGGCAGAACCCCACGACCTGTTGATATGCGACTGGCTGGAACAAGAATGTACGCCGCCACACCAGCACCAGCACCGACACGCCTTTCGAAAGCGCGCGCAGCCAGCTCATTCTTATTTGCAGCAAGAGCCCCACAGCTATCCCTATGTGGGGAATAACAACGTACGACCTTGCGCGTATAAGTCTATGCGCGCAAAAGTATGCGCGCAACAGCACAGCCTGTAAGTGTCATTCGCCCAAGGCCCTGCAGTATCCAGCGCCACTATTGACTTTGTAGCACGCTTGAAGCAACGATCTGCACAACGATAAGGCCGTATCATCTTGCGCGTATAAAAGCCCGTCGCCGTAGGCTTCACTCGCCCAAGGCCAAGCAATATACAGCACGACTTTTGTGTGTGTAGCATGCTGAAACACGCTGAAACAATGGTCGGTTGAGAGCCTGACGTTGCGCATACAACATTATACGTACAAAAGTCTGCGCGCAAACAGTATATCCTTGACGTGTAAATGCCCCACAGCGCTAATAGACAAAGAACGCTCAAGCGACAACACCGCATGATGCTGCGTGCATAAGTTCATGCGGCCCATGACTGCTGGCACTTCATTGTCAGAAGCCGCGCTTGGTCGCCCTTCACTGCTGCAAGCGCCCTTCACTGTCAGAAGCGGCGGTTGTTATCACTTCACTGTCAGAAACGGGCACCAGCACCGAGCACCGGCACCCTGTTTCCACCACCCGCACAGCCAGCTCACCAGCACCACAGCCAGCACCAGCACCGGCACCGGCACCCAGCACCGGCACCCTGCACGCAGCCAGCTCATTGTCGATTGAAAAAATGAAACACCAGGCGAACAGCCAGCACCCACCACCGGCACCCAGTGCCAGTGAGGTGGCTGGCATTGGGGCTGTGTCCAAAAGACTGGTGAGGCAGGCTGCGACTGCCGTGTCGTGTTCGGTGGAAAATGTTGCTGTGATGTTGGCGGGAGCATCCGGAGGTGGTAGTGGCACCGCGGGCGAAGCAACCAGGCAGCTTGCAGGTCTTCGAGTTCTGATAGGCGCTGCAGGAGAGAATTGTGTTGTTCCCTGGTGTGCTGAAGCTGCTGCTGCTTGTAGGAGGCAGTGCCGACCGGGGCGCCTAAAACCATGAGCCCTTGTTCGTGTGAAAAGGTGTCGCTGCTGCCGACCCACACGTCCGTCCCCAAAGCCTGGATGTTTGGGGGGGGGCTGGCCAGGTTGGTTCCAGACCCCAGGTTCCAGTTCTAAAGAGTTTGCAAGGAGTTCAACATGGAGCAGGACTTGATGGTGGACGATTCACGATGTTTCTTGAAAACCTTTTTTTTCCTCACACCTTTTTACACGCACATCCGGTCGATGGCTAAGGGTGACAGTGGTTATGACAGTTTTTATGCTGGCCTGTCCCAGACTTGTTGACCGTTGTTATCCTGGCCTGTCCCCAGGTTCGCAAAGTCCAATGGGTGGGTTAAGTGGAGGGGAGACGGCTGGGTTGGGGTGGGTCGAGGCAGGGGGTCTCCGTCAATGTTTGCTTGTGGGGCGGAGTCCAAGCCTTGGAGGGATGCCGCATAGGCCGTGAAAGCCGCATGGGTGAGCATGGCGGACCAGCGGTGAAGCAAAGCTGCCGCGACTGCTTGCCGGAGCAGTGGTGTGGCTTGTCGTGCCCGGTGTTGCGCCAGGAGGCGGAGGAAGGTGCATGCTTCCTCGCTCCACCGTCCTCCGGCTTCGATCCCCAGGACGATGAGGCGACAGCGGCCGCCACAGGTGAGCTCTGGATAGACCCGCTCTTTGTTGCGGCGAGCGTCGTGCAATGCCGCTCCTGCATATCTGCCATGGCGATGTCTGGGTTGGCCTTCCAGGTGAGAGGGGAGACGAGGGTGGCGTCGACTGCGATCTGGCACCCCCCCCACAAAGGCAAACCATTTGCGATGACTTCGATACGGCGGTCATCGAGGGTTTGGACATTGGGTATGTTCAAGTCTGCTACCCGGGTGTGGGTGGTCACCCTGGCCCCGGCCTCACGGCAAATGCGAGCTGCTGCTCGTTCAAGTGGCCCGCCGCGACTGCGCAATAGCCCCGACTGTGCACAAGCTGATCGATGGTCGCCAAGTGTGTCAAGAGTGCAACGGCATCAACAAGTCCTGGTGGACAGGGAGAGGGGCAGACGGAGTCTCCGAAGCATAAGCAAACGAAAGTGTTCGGAAGAGTAGGTGGACTCGGCGGTGTATGGGATGCTGGTGAATGCTCGGCTCGCATAGGGTCCGGACTGGGAGTCTAGAAGGGCTTGGCTGGCTGGGGCAGTGCAGGCTTGGTGGGTGGCCTTGGCGGCGGGCTGCTGCCATCCTCGGTGCTGGGGGCCCACTGGCTCGGGGTCGGCGGGGGGTGGCCCGTTGTGGCCGGTTAGGGTGTCCCACGAAGGGGGTTCCCAATCGCAAATCCGAAGGGCTTGTGCAGTGGCCACTGCTGCTTGGATGGCTGGGGATGCATTGGTGGGGTCGCGCAGTTGTTGGGTGAGGGGGTGGGCCAGGCTGGGAAGCTGTCGCTGGAGGACGGGGAGGGTGTCGGCCCAGGACCCCCAATGCGCAGCATTGGCATTGATGGTTGCGGCGGTCAAGCCTAACCATGCCTAACCCGCCCTCGGATAAGGGCAAATGAGCGAGGGCCAAAGCACTGACTGGGAGGGGCCCGCTCTGCAGCAAGTCTGTCAGGCACGTGGCAACGGCTTCGTCATGGCGTGTGGAGAACTCAGCGGTAGCTGGTGTCGGCAACATCCGCAAGATGTAGTTGGAGCGAGGGCTGGCGCAAAACAGCAGGAGGAGCCAAGAAGCCTGCAGGTCTTGCCATTCCGGGAGACGAAACAGGAGCTCTTGATGGGAGGCTGAAAGATTGTTGAGGTGCTGGTCGGTGAAAACGTCAGATCCCAAGGGCGCCCCCAAAAATGATCATGCCTTGCTCTGCTGCTGGCAACCCCTGGTCCCCGACCCACACGTCGGCCCCCAGGCTGGTTAAAGTTGGCGGCTGCACGCCGGAGGCGTTCCAAACTCTGGCCTTGCCGCGATGGAGCTGGATATGGGCCGTAGCACTTAGATGCTGTTCCAAAAGGTCGTAGACTGGGCGGACACGGGCTGGTTGGACCAGTGTGTCGATGTCGTCCAAGAAAGCAAAAAGGTGCTCCCCAGGTCAGAGTTGCTCTTGTACAGCTTGCAACGCGGATCTCTGACCCAACGCGAACAAGGCTGGCATGAGCGGGTCGCCTTGTTCTCTGCCTTCGGCTTGAGTGACGGTGTGCGCTTCGCCGGTTGCATCATGCCACACGTATTGGGAGACTTCGGTGTAGAAAAGCCGGACGAATTTCAAGCACTGGTTGGCATCAGGCACTGCGTGGAGGCCTCGCAGCATACTGTTTCTGGAGATGGTGTCGTATGCCCCGATGCCATCGACCGAGAGGACTGTCAGGTGGGGATCGGTCTGGGTGGACAAAGCAAATTGGTGTGGGGAACAAGCTAGGTGGATTGGGGAAGCGAAGTGCTGGGCGATGCTGCGCGACACGACTCTGCGAAGGATGTCGCCTATGACGATTCCCCGGACCCGACCGTTTGGCTTTTGCAGTGCCACGATGCGTCCCAACCCGAGGGCAGTTGCGGTGGGTGGTGGGATGTTGGCTGCTGCGAGCTGCTGTGCAACTTGGACAAATGTGTTTGTGCTGTCATCGTCATCCAGTAAGAGCCGCAACGTCTCTGCAGTGAGACCGGACGGCCCCGGTGCGGCCCCTTTGCGGGTTCGCCGGAGGTTGCGGATGATGGTGGGAGCAGGGATCTGCAAGGCAGTGGGAGGGGTGAAGTCGAGCAATTCTTGGTCGATGGGTTGGTATTGGCTGGCTGGTCGGCGAGCTGGGTCCCAGAGTTCATCCAACGTGTCACGGGTACGGGGTGCCAGCGGTCTTGCTGTGAGTGCTTGCCTGGCTGCGCTCGGCGCTCAACTTGCCTTGGTGGATGAGTTGGCATGCTCGGTGGCTCCGTTGTGCTGGTGTTGGGGCGGTGCTGCAGCCTGCTGCTGTTGGTGGATTGGTTTGTTGGAGCAAAGCCGTCCATTCCCCATTTTGGAATTGGGCGATCCGTGTCCGCCAGGCCTCTTTGGGAAGCGTGCGGGTGCCAGGCTGGCGGTGGAGGAGCATGCGAGGCAGCAGCATCCAAAGTTTCCATGCTTGGGCTTGGTCCGCCGGGGACTCTGCGGCAAGGATGGCCTCGAGGGCGAATACAAGAGCCTGTCGGATCCTCCCTCGCAAGAAAGCTGGTGGGGACTGGTAATGCCAGAACTGTTGTTTCAAAGTGGCATCTAAATCGACGTCGCGCAGGGAAGCCCACGCGGTTCCCACCCCAGGCAGCCTGCAGGGTGGGGTTGTAACCACCGGTGGGTTTGGTGGTGCCGGGCTGTCGCCCCTGGGCGTGGTGCTGGTGCTGCTGGAGGGTGCTGGTGCTGCTGTTGTCTGGAGGGCCGGGGTTGTCGTGGTGGCTGGTCGGTGGTGCGGGTGAGGGGTGGTTTGGGGCGGTGGGGTGTGCTGGTGGTTCCGCTGGTTCTGCTGGCCTGGTCCGCCTCCATTGGTCTGCAAGGGCGGCTGCTGCTGCTGCCAACCGCTCCCCTAGGTAGGT